ACAATCCCTAATGACATTTTATCATCCGCAATGAATCATTGTTACTCATAATAAACTATGTTACCAAGGCTATGAATAATAAAATGATCACCAATGTAGCCAACATTTATTGTCATATCAAATAAAAGTAGATCTAACTTATTAAAAGAAAAAAACTTATTAAAAAAATCCTTATTTCATCCTTAAACATACCAAAAATTTAAACCAAATTAGCTCTTAGATAATCTCTATGTTTTACTAAAATAGGAATCAGTACCTTTCTGTGGGGGCTGATTATTTAAGCTCTGCATCTTAGAAATGATATACTCTCTACATATTGAAGAACCAAAAGGTATAATACCATGGCTGCTGGCAGAACAACAGAATAATGCCATTTCCTGTCTTGGGTGTAAATAACAATTTACTTAAATGGCCAAAAATAAATAGTTTTCATATCTGACTAAGCATCTTCACAATATACAGAAAAATGTAGTTTGCTGTTGACCCACACTGAGGTATGAAATCATTACTCTTGAAAATATGACTGCAAAATGAAAGCCTTAGGCATGTCCCCCATTCATTAAGGAACAAAAAGAAAAAAAAAGAAAAAAACAATTTATGCCAATTATCAATGGAACATTTGAAGCATTTCTAAATTTAATTGAATAGTACCATCACTTAACACCCCTGATTTAGTAACAGTAACAACCCCAAGAGATTAAGATAATGCCACTGACTTGTTAAAGTGACAATAAGAGAACCACCTGAATGTGGTGAAACCAGCAAGTACAGTATATAAATTGTTACTCTTGGCAACTCAGGGTTTGATCCCCTTACTGTTAAAAAAAAAAGCTGTTATTTCTTACTCTTGGCCATCAAAAGACTTGCTGACTGCTAGCACCCCTTCCAGGTGGTATATGAAGGCTTAATGCATGCATCTTCATCTTAGTTTTACTTCTTTTCTGTCTCCTTTTGCAGCCATTCATAAAGTCTGGCCATGAAATAAATAGTTATTCACTTCTCCAAACACACCTAGTCCACAGCTGTTGAGTTTCAGATTCTTCTTCCCCCTTCAGTTCAGGAAGAGCACTACAGAACCATTTAACACACTGAAGGAGTAATTATCTCCCAGTACACTGAAGGTGTGAAGACAACTTCCCACAATGACATACAATTCCACGGATATTTATGCCCTAGAATTTCTAGTTTATCTTTCAATTAAGAATAAAGACATGTTACCCACTTTCAATTAAGCAAGGTAGGGAGTTATTTCCCTATTAAAATTTCTAAAATTGGAGCATAAAGCACCCTAAAAATATCAATACTTCAAAGAAGTCAGGTAAGGAGCTAATTTTACCAGATGGAAGGCATCATGCGTGCAGGAAATGAAAAATCTATTTTAGAAGATCTCTGATTAACATTAGGTTAATCATTCACTTTACAAGTTGGAAATACTGGGTTTTTAAAAATTAAGTGAATTTCAAAATTTGGTGTTATATTTACTTTCTTAATTTGTATATATCAAAAGGAAAGAACAATGCAAATGAGATTTAATACAGATGCAATCTAAATGCTCAAGGTCACACAATTGCTAAAGTTTTTATTAAACAATTTGGTAGTTTCTTTACATTCTTATTAAGTGCAGATTATTCACAGAATTTGATTTGGTTTATCCAGCTTTAAAATACTGTGACGATATATTTCTTTTTCTGGCAGAACTCCAGCTGACTCTACTTTCTTCTTCCCTTATGCTTTCTATCACTACTCTCTGCTCCCCACCTCCCGGCAAACACAGTATAAAGAATTAAAATAACAAGGGGCTAGGGATTTAGCTCAGTGGTTCCAGCACCTGCCTCGAAAGCGCAAGGTCCCGAGTTCGATCCCCGGTACCAAAAAAAAAAAAAAAGAATTAAAATAACAGAATACTAAATTTCCTCAATTTAGACTCTTTGATATAATATATATGACACCAAATGCAACATTTTCTCCTTATATTATAATAGGGGAAACAAAATATACTTTGATCAAAACACAATTTACGTTACTTTTAATTATGAAAGATCATCAGCGTAAAAGCTTCCTTTCTTTAAACATCAATAACGGAACGTATTTCTAATTGAAAACCTCTCTTTACTTGAGGAAGGTAAAACTATTTGCACAGCCAGTCATGTGCCCACATATATAACTAATATATTTGAGCAGATTTTCCAATTTCTAATGTAGTAGAAAGACTAAATATCCTTTCACATTCTAATCTTGACCTCAATCAAATAAGCAAGAGTTGTTAAACTCCATTGTAATATGACATTGTTACATAATAAGTTTTCCCCTGGCATTTACAAACACCTCCCAATATACGCCACAGAGTTATTGGATACAAATTAAATGTCTAAATTAAAGGCTCACTGATTATGGACATACCAGAAAAACAATGTAGCAACCAAAAGACACAACCTTTCATTTCCTTTCCCTTAGGTCCTTAACTAAAACGCTATCCTCATACTTTTCAATGTCCTTGATCCACCCAAAGTAGGGGTTGGAAGACAGCTGATTGGTTAGATAATTGACTATTTTATTCTGAATTAGAAACAAAATAACCAGGTGCAGAGGCTTTATAGTAAACCAAATTGTGTCAAATAAAAGCACATATCAATGCTTTCAACATCCAGACACACTTATTTCAGACATTGGCTCTTTGCATTTTCACATTTCCATTTTCCATAACCATTTCACAGGCACCAGAAAGGAAGATACTTCTATAATAGCAATATATTTAAAAAGAGAAGCATTCTTGTAAGTTCTCTTTAAAAAAAAAAATCTAAGCCCAATTCTACAGAAGCATCTTCTGCCAACATTTTGCTTCTTTATATTAAGAAAACAAAATTTGACCAAAAATGCATAGTAACCATTATTGATTTTACACATAAATAATCATCCTTTAAAAGTTGCAAGGTTATTGCTTTTTCCTTCAAACTCAGTAACAGAGAAAGAAATGCAACCTCCACTAATAGATCTTGAAACACACGATTGTGGCGTCCCCGTGTTACTTTCAATGGTAACTGACACGCCCCGAATTTAACTGTACCAGACAGTTCTATCTGTTCCATCCTTGACCAAACACTACTTCTCTGTTTCTATTCATTACGTATTATACGAGGCCTAAACACAAGCCCAATATGAGGGAGAAAAAATTACAATTCTTATGCCAGCAAAGTGATGCATTCAAGATCTGTCTGGCAGTACATCCTCGTCCATAAGCACTAACAGGCATTTTTTTATAGAGCTAAAATATGTTGGCTGCAAGCTCATTACTCTAAGAACCTTCAGCAGCCCCGTTTCTGCAGGTTTTCAGAAAACCCTAGTAAAAACCAACCGCTATCCAAACCTTGCAAAAGAAACTTCCGAAGATTCTTATGCAATGATCAATAACCTTGGTTACACCACAGTCGGCCCCGAATTCACGGTTCTGGAGACCACTGCAAGCAAAAACCCAGCCGAAAGGATAGCTGAAGCTCAAAGAAACTACCGGGTGCCCTGTCTGCCGCAGGGAAAGAAGCGATGGGAGAAGAGGGGTGGAACGAGGCTCACCAGCTCCGGAAGATGCTCCAGTGACCTCTGGCTGCACCGCGAGGCTGGGCCGGGAAGGCGCTAGTGCAGCGGTGGCGGGCCGGGCAGACTCTGCCCCGGGTGCATTCCTCGCATTCCTGCACAATCAGTCGCCAGCTCAGGAGCCCGCAGCGCGCGTTCCTCCCTGGACACACACACCTGTCTACTGCTGCGCCCCGAGCGGCCACGGACGCCGCGGCGCCTCCAGTGCCCGCGCTCGCCGTTTGTCGCACTCAGCCAAAACGCAGCCAAATCCCAGCTCCGCCGCTCGCTCCCTCGCTTCCCGGATAGGGGAAAGGGAACAGGGCCCGGCAGCCCCAGCGGTGGACCCAGCTGGAACACCCGATTCGCGGGGGGGGGGGGGGGGGGTGCCGCAGCTCCGTCTCAACTCCCGGGAGGAAGAGGAGGAAGCGGCGGCTCGAGCGGGCAGCCAGGAGGCTCGGGGCTAGGGAGGGAGGGTGGAGCGCGAGGCTCTGCCGCGCGCACGGACGGGCGCGCTGGCCGGGCGCGGGCAGGAGCGCAGGAGCTAGGGCTGCAGGGCAGATACCAGACGGCGCGGGAAGCGTGGGCGGCGGAGGGCCCGGGGGCTGCACGCGCGGACAACGGCCCCGAGGGCTGGGGAAGGCGGGCGTCCGGGTGCGAGGCCGGGGGCTCTGCATCCGAAAAGCCTGAGGCGGGGAGGGGTCGTGCGCGTCGCGCGGGGGAGAGAGCCGGGAAGAGTAGTCGCCGGGAAAAGCAAATGGAGGTGAAACTTGTGCGCCCGCCGGGGGGAGGGGAGCAGGCAGGCGAGTGCAGGCAGGAACGCGAGGCGGGGCAGGAAAAGCTCGGCGGCGCGAGGCGGTAGGGACGAGGACCGCGCGAGAGGCGCCGGTGCCCTCGGCGGAGGTCCAGACTAGAGGCTGCGCGCAGGAGTCTCTGCGCTCTCGCGAGCCCGCACACTTACTTTTCAGCTTAGGCAGCGGCCGTCGTGGCTCCTGGGATCAGGGACATCCACGCCGCCCTGGGGTCGCCGCTGCGGCAGCCGAAAAAATTAAGAAAGTGTGGCGGCCGAGCGGCTGCCCGCCCCTCCCTCCCCCACCCGCCCCCTCCCCCGGGGGAGGCGCTCCCACCACCCCCGGCGGCGGCGGCGGTGGCCAACTTGCGCTTCTACCCCGTGCCCATGGTGCCGCCTCCGCGGCCGGCGTCGATGCGGACTCAGCCCCGGAACCCCCTCTACTGCCCACAGGCCGCCGCCGTCGCCCGCCCAGCCGCCAGCCCGCCTGCCCGGACAACCCCAGGCTCCCGGGAACGTCAGCACGCCGCCGTCTCCGGACAAGCTTCGCGCCAGCCCCATTGGTCGCAACGAGAAGGCTGGCCCTCCCCATTGGCCCGGCCCTCATATTGAACGGACCAATGGGAACTGCGGTTTCAGGTCGCCATAGAGACCGATGCTGTTCAGAGTGAGAGGGCCTGGAGAGGGTGGGGAGGGAAGGTGAAGGTGTTTCTGGCCTCCAGTGTGGGAGGAGGTGGGAGAAAGAAGTACTGAGGGATTCCGGGGCGCTGGCTCTGAAATCTGGGCCAGGTTTGTTTACCTTACTGTTAACCCAACTCTGCGTGGTAGGGTTTGTCCCTGGCGTCAAAGGCAGGAACAGTTGAACCCCTAGGTTTACCCTTGACGGTAAGAGCCCAAAAGTGGGCGTTTCAGTTTTCCTGCGTCAGGGAGCCTGTGAGGCTTTGCCCTTTGACCTTTGACATCGGTGCAGCTTCTGCTTCTTCAGGTGAGTTCGCACCCATCCTTTGAATCGCTGTCCCCTCCTGACGTCCCTTGGCCACTTGAATTCTGCTTATGCTTATTCTTGTCACCAGTCCCCTTACTCTGAGGCAGATCTTGCTTAAGATTTTTGAGTCTTCAACCAACCCATTGTCCTTCCCAAAAAAGTCTCAGTAAGGGGTTTTGGGGGCATGGTATTTTTGTAAGGAAATAGGTTTATGGATTATATGATCAATGCCAAAAGATCAACACATAACCTAGTGTGTTCCCTAGTTCCAATACAAACCTCGAAGCTCCCTCCATTGACACGTATTTATTAAATAACCCTGTGTGTGCACTGTGCACTATGAACTTGACAGGTGCATGCTTTCCCTAAGAGGTTACAGGATCAAAAAGGATATAGGTGCCAGAGTCCGGCCTTTATAGCTTCTGATGATCTCACTGGAGGAAAAGGAAAATAGGATTTTGCTATTTTTATACGAGCCCTTTTAGTTAAAAAAAAAAGAGAAAGAAAGAAAGAAAGAGAAAGAAAGAAAGAAAAATGTTACTGCCCCTCTCAGATTAGAAGGACCATATTGTGGTGAAAAAGCTGATAGGATGTTGGAATTTACAGCTATTTTTGTTTAGGGAAGCAGATTAATGTGTGCAAGCTACATATGTCTATTGTTCTGAATTTTAAGTTGGATGATATACTTACTACTTTTTTTTTTGTACTGGGGATCTAACTCACAACCTTGTGCTTGCAAAGCAGATGTGCTGCCACTGAGCTAAATCCCCAGCCCACTACTGGTTTTTATATTACTGTGACTAAGGATTACCAAAAGGTAACCTGAAATAAATATTAGTATGGTAGTTTGAGAAAACAATTGAAATTATTTTACAGTCTTTTGTAGGATTATGTTATGGAACAAAACAGGCAAATATTTGAATTCCCTAAATACTTTTAGAATTAGGAAGGGACCAGCAAAGGTCAAGAAGTTGGCTGTCTCATGACTTGCCATCATGAAAATAAGCCACTTTTAACTTCTTTGGGCTTTTTTATATGTGTTTATTGGTGAATAGAAAGGGTAAAATGTAAATTTTTATAAATCATTTTAATAGCAATGATTTGATTTTTAAATTTTTCAGTAAAATTTAGTGAACAAGATTTATGTAGTTAAAAGGAAAAAATTGAGTATTTCCTCATTTTCCTCCCTTTGGCTACCTAGAAGAAAAAAGAAATAGTTTTTTGTTCTTGTTGTTGTTCAAGTAATCTTTTCTTTTTGTATTTTTCTCAATACACATTTGATTGGTATTTTGATATTGTGTATTTCATGTTTATAATGATTAAAGTATTACTAAAATCTCTCATGAACTATGTTCCCTAAAATAAGCTGTCATTCAGCATCAATTTTTTTCTGTTATACTAAGTTGAAAGCTTTCTTTTGAACTTGCTGTTACTTTACTAAGCATGGCTAGCTAAGGCTAAGAAAGCACTCACTTCCACTAAAAGTTGGTACTATCCAGACTTGCCCTGGACTTCACTGATTTCTAAATTCCTTTCCTCATGAAGAGGGTGATTATCTAGAAGAAGTATCCAGGCACGTTATCCAGGGTACTTCTCCCAAATCTGTCTCATTTCTCCTCTCCTCAAGCCCTTCCTGCATTTGGGTTTCCTGCAGTTTTTCAAATAATCTTGCCTCGTTCTTGACCAAAGGGATCCAGCATGAGGTTCCTCAACTTAGCTTCCCTAAATCTTGGTCTCAATTTTCATACATCTTAACCTTCTTCAGCCTTGACTGAGAAGATGAAGATATCTCTGGCCTCATGCACTCCTCTACATTTGTTGTCCACCTTTCTATTCTACTCTCAGACTTCGCTTGTGCTTCTAAATCTGCACCACACTCTCTCCAATAGGATTTTCCTCTGCTGATTATAATTTTTCTCTGAGATTGTTTTATATCCTTTCCTCCAAATACTTTTCCTAAGCCTTCCAAGTAGATAGCCTTTTATAAAGTCACTTTCCTTTCACACTACCTTCATCTCTTTCTCCTGACCCTTCCTTTCACAGTGAAACAGTATGAAGGGAATTTCTTGAGGTGTCTACTTTTCCACCCTCAACGTTTTGTCCCTTGAATACAACTGAAATGATTCCAAGGGTAGTTTCCGTAGTGTAGTGGTTATCACATTCGCCTAACAACAGAAATGATTCTAAAGATGGTGCTCTTTCTCCTCAAAATTCCAACTTATTTTGCCAATTTAGTTATCTCATACAAAAGTATCCTTTGCTTACAAGTAGCAATGCCCCAATCCAGACTGCCAGTGAAGAGAAAAGATCAATGTCACCCAGCCTGAAGAGGCATAGAAATGCAAATGACATTCTTAAACTTGCTACCCATACCATTTGGTGGGTTCAAGTGCTGGAAGAAATGGTTCAGAGAGAGTCCTGAGGCTGACTGTGGTGGCTAGGACAAGGTTAAAAAGACTGAAGACCTGCCAGGGATTTAGCTCAGTGGTTTCGTTGCCTGCTGCACAAGCGCAAGGACCCGAGTTCGATCCCCGGTACCAAAAAAAAAAAAGAACTGAAGAGGTTGGATAACCCCACCCAGGAACAAAAGTTAACAGCAAAAATCCCAGGAACTTTTCACCTACCAGGCAGAAATAAGTCAACCTGAACCTTTCAGAGATTTTGAAAATGTTGTAACTTTCCAATGTTTGATACTTTCATATTAGTGCATAATGATTAGTGATAAATTCCTTGGGGAAAAAAATACTAGGGATAGAGGGAATAGAGCAGTGATGATGAACCTTTTAGAGCTTTCAATGATACAAACAGTTCATTGTGGCACACATGTCAGAGGTTCGTCACCACTGGAATGGAAGGAAGCAGGAAAAACTTATCTTTCTTCTCATCTTGGATGTCTGTGGAGGAGGTTTGGGCGGTGAAGATGTGAACTCCAAAAGGTACACTGGTTAGAGGAATGTGGTGAATGTAGGAAAGAGAGCAGTAGGGTATGCTGGGCCTTGAGGAGGGCTGCCAGGGCTTGATAGTAATAGTTCACTCAGGTTTGAGGATTCCCTGGACCCTGAGCTCAGCCCCACTCTCTGAATATGCAACCCTCCCACCCTGCTCCTTAAAGACCTGGCCCAGGTGTTACCTGGCAGCCTTTTTCTGCAGGTTTCCTGGCCCTGACCCCTTCTGAGAGACTGATTTCTTTCTGCCTCAGTATATTATTAAGGCACTTGATACTCTTTGTCTCCTAATGTAATTATCCATGTGCAGACTTCCTCCCCTAGAGGATGAGATGCCAAGGCCTTTACTGTGTCCCACAGTGCCTTACAATGCCTGCCACATTAAGAAAAGCCAGTATTCATTGCTTTTTGTGGTTGTTCTTGGAAACACTTGACTTCCAACAATGAAAACATGGGAAACAGTAATGTTGGGAGGTAATTTGAAGAAGATGAGATTAGACATCAATGTGGAAAAATGAAGTAAAGTATGACAGAGTACAGTAGAGGATTTTGCCACATTGCCTTGAATGAGAGAAGGAAGCCTCAGATCTGATTTCTACCTGCTTATGAGGGCATTTGTGTGAGAAGGCCTCGGAGTGTGTGCTTTGGCATATTCACAGTGAAGGCTGTAAAACTCTGTGTATTAGCCAAAGTAATTTGAGCTCCTCCGTATGAAGCATCTGTTTTGCTCCGTCTTAGAACATGTAAGATCATGACAATTTAATAATTTCATAAAATCAGAAAGACATCGAACAGCTAGTGTGCGTAATGGACATTTGCTTTGTGTAAAGGACATGCTTCCTAGAGCCTGTATCCATAGCCCTTAAAGGAAGCAGCCCTGTCTGCCTCACAGTCATGTTCCTGGTCACTGCCTCACCTCTGTGGGGACCTGACTCCCAGGCAGCTGATCTACTGGCTAGCTGTTAACTCATAACCTGTAATGGTGTCAATCAGATTCTTCCAGCAATTTTGAATTGAAAAAAACAAGTATGTTACCTTGTCCTGTTTTCTGGGTTCCTACTGAAGGGGAACCACAATTTGCTACCTCAAAATATGCTTCTTTCACATAAGGATTATTTTGAGCTGAGGGCAATTGAAAAAGCACAGGTAGCAAAAAGGATCTTTTATTTCTTCTTTCTTCCCAAGAGCAGGGTATATATTTCCCTTTTAAAATTACTATAGCCAGCTAGGTGTGGTGGTGCACACCTATAATCCCTGAGAGACTGAAGCAGGAGGGTCACAAGTTTGTGGCCTGCCTGGACAGTTTAGCAAGACGCTGTTTTAAAATTTAATAAAGAAAACTGAAACTGTAGAAAGAACTGTGGATGATGGAGACTACGTAACATAAATTTCCACTTGTAAAAGTGTCTCACTCTCCAGGTTCAGGAAGAGAAGTAAATACTCCAAAAACAACTCATCACCCAAGAGGACTCTTATGAGCATGGCTAACCTTATTAAACAGCCCGTATTTACCATTCATTTCCTAGGCACCTTTCCATCACCCCTTTGCAAGAAACCCTTAAGCCAGTTCTCCTTTGCCTAAACCTTGTCTCTGCACTTTATCCCCTTTGTTAAGATTCTGTATAAGTCCCATATTCCAACTGCCTCCTTGAATCACATTGCTTTGTGATCATCCTATACTTAATGAAATCCATTTTTTTCTCTTGTCTTTTGTAAATTTAGTTCAAATCCCCATCACTGAATCTAGGACGGCAGATGGAAAGTATTTCTCCTCACCTACACTATTCTCCCCTTGAATTCATACTGAAAGTTTTTCCCTCGCAGTTGGCCTATAAGATTTCTGTTTCTTGTCATCACCTCACTCAGTTCTTTTCCTGGTTCTCCTTTAGTGAGTCTCTATTTCTTTATAACCAGAAGCTTTCACTAATGTATAAATATTTTACAATAAAAGAATATGTGGGACTGGGGATTTAGCAAATGGTTCTGCTGCTGCCTGCCTTGCAAGCACAAGGTCCCAAGTTTGATCCCCGGTACCAAAAAAAAAAAAGAAAGAAA